CTCAAGTTATGCAATTATAGGATGATCCTATAATAACCAATTAAGTGCTCAGATAGAGAGGCCTGTTAACTACCAGTGAGTTCATTTCCCAGGCAGTTCAGGATTGTTTCCATAGCATATTTTCCAGTCTGAAAATTCCATCTTTTCCTTATGGAGACTTTGTAGCCTAATATGCCTCAATAGTGAAAATTCTCCCTAAATCTTTGCTTCTTTCGGTTAATCCTAAATGTGCCCCTCTTACAACACTGAATACCTCAATATCTTTGCTTTTCAAGAATTCATAGATTGCTGTCACAGCCCGCTCTTGTTTCTCATAGCCAGGCTATATCCTCTTTACCTCTTTTCATCTTTCCTCATCAGGCAGTTCATCTAGCACCATCAAAATGTTACATTGCTCTTCTCTGAAGACTTCTAGTTTATCAATACTTCTCAGGGCAGGTGTTATGTGGAAATGAACACAATGTTCCAAGGCCATGACACATCTGTACTGAGAAACATTCATACTAGTGGGCTCTGAACTATGTGTCTCTTTACAGACAACCCTAAAGTATATTGGCTGTGCTCTGACGAATTTTGGTTGCAAAATTAGCTTGTGAGAGCCATTGTAGCTAATAGAGCATTTTGGGACTGCTGTAATGTATAGTAGGGGCAATATTGCCTTCACCAGCAGGGCCAAAATGTAGGAAATGAAGAGACTGTTTAAAGCTACATTTCTCCTTCCCCTCCTTGAGTCCTGTGCAGAGTACAGCTTAGCTGAAATAGAGCATCCAGTCCAGCTTCTACAAGTTACTAACAGGATGCACTAGGACATGCTAACAGAGTCCCATTAATCTGAATATGAGTCATGCACCAGAGACATCCTGTTTTTTTATCAGAACAAAAATATCTCTATTGAGTGATGGCAAAAAGCCCTCATTTATTAAGTCATACTGTTAGAGGCTGACTGAAAACTGAGAAAGAAACACTGAAAGGTTAGGAATGAAGGGGCATGTAGCTACAGGGCCTGCCTATAGGGATGCACTCCTCCCTTTGTTGCCAACAGACTTGGAACAGAGCTGCAGGGTCCCTTTTGGGGAGAGGCTAAAGCCAACATCACAGCTAGATTCACAGAGACTTTAGGCTCCCTGGAAGGACTTCAACTGCACTTGATTCCTTGGTAGGAGTAGAGAAATTGGCCCTTTATATCTTATCTATGTCTTGTACATCTGTGCAACAATTGAGGCTTGAGCTGGTCTTCTGTGTCTCTCTTTGACACATAGAAGACTACAGAATACCAGGTCTTCTGACAGCATATGCTGTTTTGAGCTTTCATTTAATTGAAGATGAGGGCTCTTTGGTAGCTGTGCCACTTTCATGAATATAGTGTGAAGAACATAAATACTCGCTTCACAAAACTGCCACTGAATTAGCTGTGACTGCACTCCTTCAGTCAGTCAGCAGTAGATGGTCAAAAGCTGTTTTCTTTACTGGTCTATGCTCGGTATTGTAACTTTGGACTACCTTTGTTCTTTATGCTAATTTTCTCTGACTTGCTTATTTTTCGCAGCAGCTTTACATTCTATTATCTCATCAGATGAGATGTCATTTTGTTTGCCTGCTGATGAAATACCTTTCTTCCCCTAGAGGTTCACCTCCGCTACAGTGCTGGGGAAGAGTTAGCCTTTCCCTTTACTTCATGTTAGAATTTCCTGTAAACTTGAATAACTTTGCTTCCTATCATACTTTGATAACAGAAAATGAGTTTTCTTCTTCAAAACCCTTTGTGAAGACCTGAATTTAAAAAACATTATAGTGACCACTTCTGCGCAGGTAAGAGGGTAGATTAGGTGACCTAACAGGTTTGTTCCTTTTCCAACATCTGTGGTACCATGATCTCTATCTATGTCTGAGGGATAAACTGATTTCAATGCTATCAGTGGGAGTTGTCAGTATCCAGGTTCCTGAAAGACCTGGGCCTGAATTTCAGAGAGTGGATATATGGGAAACCCCATGGATATTATCACAAGTCAGAGTTTATTCAATTTGGGCTCATGGAATGAGAGCAATAGCATTTTTTGCAGCATGTTTATGCCACCCCTTGTGGTTGAGATCTTGCCGAGCTGTCACTTGGAACATAGTTTTTGCCAGTTCTTGGCTATGCTGTTTAATTTGGAGGCTGTCATATGACTGTTTGGGGTGATTGCTGCTGCCAGTTTCTACGAGTAGAGGTCTCTAGAGACCCATTTATGAAGAAAACAAGCTTACTTACCTGTAAGTGAAATTCTCTAGTTCTCTGAATATATTGCCTCCAGAGAGCTTCTCTCTCTGACCCTACTTCAAAGTGCTGTCTGGGCAGGTGGCCAGCGAATTGATGAAGAGGTATGAATAACTCCTTCTGGAGATGCTTTGGGAGCCCCCTCCTGGCTTCCTGGAGATAATACACCCTTTGAGGGCTACATGAATTTTGGCAGGCTTCTGAGCCACAAACCATGATGTAAGCTTTAATGAGTTGGAGATAATATATTCAGGGAATTTAAGTTATGTGTACCTTGTTCAGTGGGTTTTCTTTTCTCTGTGAAGTGCCTCCACCTACAATGGTTATCTAGTGCCATGGTCATTCTCCCCCTCCTATACTTATGTTCTCAGCTGGCTTTTTAAAGTAAAATATACCTTGTATAAATATATATACACTCAACAGTGTTGATGTCTCTATATACTAAAGGTGTTAGAACCATTTATGAATGTTATTGCATTTCCCTTGTCTTAACCATATCACATCTTAGATTGATGCATTGCTGAAAGACTTAATGCAGTTTTAAATATACAGAAAACATGTTTTACCTAGCATTCATCCTTGTAATATGTTCTAATGTTCAGGAATGCTAGATAAAACATGTTTAAAAGGTCCTTGACTTTCCCTTCAATGTTTTAGTAGGTGCAATAACTTGCAGGTACAAAACTCCTCTCAGTTAATGAGTTAATTAGCATATGCACAATGCTGGGCTAACATGGCTATACTACTTCCAGTTCTTGCTTGAGTAGCTTGAGTATCTCTGCCTGATACTGCTGGACCTTTTGTAGGTCTGGGCTTTGTTCGTTAACACTACACACATTTATTCCCGTAGCTTAAAATAGAACTCTGGAGCATTGGCTCCAAGTCTGGTTTTGAGTCAATACAGGTGGGTCATTCAGAACCTCATCCTTCTTAAGAACTGTCCTTCTATGCAGAAATATGCCCCTTTAAAATGAACTACAGTTGGCAAATCTCTATAGCAGCAAGGGTTTAAATGAGATAGAGGGTTTGACCTATTGCAGTAAACTGAAAGGAGTTTGGCTTCATGAAGAGTTCACTATAGATATATCACAGATTTCATTGAAACAAAAGCACTCTGCATAAACCTTTGGGCTTAGGGTCTCATTTGTAGCGATGAGTAATGTGTCCTTTAATAGCATTATGTACTATAAACAGTGTGAGGGAATAACTTGAATTCCTTAACTTTAACTGCTACCTATGGTTTTCAGCTCACAACATTAAACATCTTTACTTTCCAGTACGAGCCCTCTTTTGAAATGTCCTAGGCTTCTTTGAACTTGTTGTAAATTCAGAACACTAGTAAAAGTTCTCCAGGGTCAGTTTAGATAGGAAGATGCAAACTTAAAAAAAAGAAGACCTGCCCAGGAGAGATTACATAAGAATGTGTTTTACTGTAGTTAGAACTGCTCAACATGAAAGCTTACTAAGGAATACTTATACTAAAAATCGCTCAGACAGTCCTCTTGTGTTGCCATTTAGATCTATCATTCTGATTGATCACTATGTGGTTGGCTAATATTGAGCCTAATTTAACCCTATACACTCACACATCCATCTATTCTGTCTATTGTACCTGACATTCTACAAATTACTTACTCATGCAAATGACGACCTAAGGCAACCTTTTATGATATTCGTGTTTAATTATACAAATGGTTTTTGATAAATAAGATTATACATCCTTCCATATGTTTATTCACTCCTTGATGAAAGCAAAATTTAATTTTCATGCAGATTTGTTGGAGACTTTGTTTAATAAGTGCTGAGTTTTATGTAGTCTGCAGATCAGTCTGGTTTTGGGAAGCTGACAAAATCAGTAGGCACAGTTCGTAGAGACATGTAGTTCTTAATCAGGCCTAATTCAAGCTGTTAAATTTTGAGACCTTAGAGCTGAAGCTACTGTCTTTGTGCTTTGCCAATGAAGCAAATGTTCTTGCAAAAGTAAATGAATAAATTAGAGATTCTGACTTTAATAGGACACTCAGAAAAGTGTGGTTATCTTACAAGTTACAGAAAATGTTGTCAATTGATTGATTATATTAATAGAGTTAATAGAGTGATGTCTCCTTACAGCTTGCTTAAATAAATAAAGCCCTGTTCCTGTAATTAAATCAGTAAGCAGAATCAAAATCCCAATTGGAGCCAGGCTAATTTAACTGGGGCTTGGCATGGACACAGGGGTCTATTCAGCACCCAGGAGCTGTCTGTGTCCTGTGCATCACTGCTGTCCCCTGTGCCAAGTTGCCCTGTTATGCCTCTGTGTCTACTTGTGGGAGAACAATGGCAGAATTGCAGCCTGGGTCAGTATTTTCTGTTGGATAACATCAGAATTTGTATGTTCTGTGACTTGATGTTGAGCCTTATCCTGGGTATAATTTGGAAGCTCCTTTCTATACTGTATTGCCTGGCAAAAACAAAATTGCTCAGCCTTGCATGAACCTAATGAAAGAATACTTGCCCTGGATACAGTTTACTTGCCCTCCCTGATGACAATGGCAAAAAATGTTCTTGTTTCTCCACTAATGTATGAGCTTATTTCTACATGGAGGGTCTAGTGATATGCTGCACAATTGCCTTAAATTATAGCATAGTTTCTTCTTCTTCCAAACAGCCTCACCAAATCAGCACCACCCTGAAATGCTCAGTATTTACCAGGCTCAACCCCTTCATAAATTGCTCTTTGTTATGTGTTTTTTTTTTTTTTGAGGTATGGTCCATAAATTCTGCAGGCCGGGCTCCAAGCAGCTGGTCACGCTGTAGGACAGGCTCTGCCCCACCTGAAGGCCTTCATGCACCTAAGTTCCACACTGTGGCTTCTACCTTAGCTGTGGTAAACATCAGCCCACCTCTTAAACCAAATGGGATAGTTAGTCTCTACCGGCTGTTCTCTAACACCAGAGGCACTGAAGTGGTGGTGAGTATGAACCAAGCAAAATTTGTATTTCTAGTTGAACTCTGGATATGTTTAGACTTTTCAGTTCTATTTTTTGCTAGCTTTTTGTGTGCTTGTGCATTTGCATGTGCATGCAAGTGTGTGTTTTATTTCTGCTCTGCAATGCTTTCTTCTGGCTGAAAAAGGACTGGCACCGTACTTAGCTAAATCCTGTGCTTTCAAAAGAATTAACCTTGCCTCCAAAACCTTCATTATTTGGTAGCATACTGAAAAAAATGTGAGAAGAATCCCAGGCTGTGGTGGCCCTTAAAGGGAGCTATCTCTTCAGTTCAGTCTCAATAAACCAATTGGTTAGGCATGGAGTCTAGTCAGTCAGAAATCACTGAACTCTTAGTTAGTATGTTATAATGTTTTAAAATGACTTCTGTTCCCTCAGTTCAGTCTTGAGAGATGGTAACCCAGCAATTCCTACAATGGGAGGTTTCAAGGATTGCTAGCAAGACAGGTTTACCTGGTGTGACAGAACTAATACTTCATAAGGGTGTCCATCTGTCTCCAGCCATGCAATATGAGTTCCTTCCCTAACCTATCCTTGTCACTGCATCCAAAGGCATCAGGGGGAAAATATACTATATCAGGTGTTTGAGGATTTTCTTCTGTATCTGCTCCATTGAGCCCTCTGGTAACCGCCCTGCTATGTAGCCCAACTACAAGTATTAAAAGTGCTGTGCAGGTTTTTTTTATGGCCTGCCATATTCTATGCAGAAAAAGTAATCTAAATGAGGAATAAAGCCAAGCATGCTATCATCAACATTTAAGCAATGTGGGGAGCCAGGTGTTTTAAATAGTTACTACTGGGTTAAAAAAATTCCATGTTACCTTATTTGAAATGTATAACAAGCATTAGGAGGTCTGGGATCACGTGTATCTGTAAAAAATGCTGGGTGTATAGGGCACACACCTGAAACAAGTCATTTATTTATTTTTGGTTTGGGTTGTAACCACCACCAAGCATTTCAGTCCTTTGCTGCACCCAGGCTGTGGTGGCCCTTAAAGGGTGCCATCTCTTCAGTTCAGTCAGTCTCAATAAACCAATTGCTTAGGCAATGATCAGTGTTTGGAGTCTATGTTTCTGAAGTCAGTCAGGGAATCTGCAAGTTTGGGCTGCTGCAGTCTGGCTTTAATGTAGATTTGAGGAGCCTAATGATACTGCATAGCACAGAACTACTTGATAAGGATGAAGTTAGTAACAATTCAATCACTCGCTTAACCTTTGAGAGCCCTGAACATTGTAGAATTGGTGTTCTTCCATTGCTCATTGTGGGTGTAGGACAGGTTTAAGGCTCCCCGTCTTCCTGTTTCCCAAAGATTATTCTTAGACCGTACTAAGGGCACTTAAAATGTGAGCATCTGCACATTAAAGCTTATTAAGACATGCTAACTGCCCTCTGAGCATCTCAAAGTTATGGCACTTCAGGCAAGAGTTAACTCTGGACTATGCTACCCAAGTCATGTTAAGGTAACCTGAGTCTGCTCTATGGAGATAAAATGAGCAATTTGCAGTCCTCCAGCATCCCAGGATACACTGCTCTAAGCCCCCAACCCCTATCCAAATTAGAGATAGAGTCCTTGTGTCCTGGCTTCTAGCCATGCGCCTGTTCACCAGCTCTCTAGCGGCAAGTCTCTAGTGGTTGTGCAGGCAAAACAAAAAAAAAATAGTATAAACCATCAATGTGTGAATGCACACAGCATGTACTAACCTTTCTACAGATGAACTTTCTATGCTCACCGCACCTTTCTTCACTTAACTTTCTACAGATTTAGTGTGGCCTAAGTATAACATGTAAATTCACCGTAAGATACTAGTTTTGGAGTGAATCTCCTGCCTAGATTCACATCTAGGGAGATCTGCTGCCATTCTGTGGGTGTGGCTGAACAGCCAAGGTTGAGCTGCTGCAGTCTTGAGCGTTAGTAGGGCTGCAAAGCTGCTCTGTTTCTTCTCTGTGGGCTGGAACGAGGCTGAATCCAGCCATTGACAGAAAATCTCACATAATGTCACTGAGGCAAGAAATCCTCAGTGATCTGGGGGCAAAGTAGGGAGTGCTGAAGAATACCTCAAGACAGATCAGCAAGCCGGTGTAAAAATGCTACATGCCTATGAGTAAACTAAGATCCGTGTTATCAATATTCAGTTAAGGAAGTACCTCAGTGTCAAGTGCTGTACCCTTTGATTGCAGATGAGAATCAGAAGCCTTTGCTCACATCCCATTTGTCGTGACCATCTTCCTCAATAACTGTCCGCACAGTTATCTGTCAAAACTTAATGGCATTCATGTGTTAGGGTAGAATGTGTTGGATTTCTCCTTACCCAGGGCTCAGACTCTGAGCTTTTTCTTTCTTTTGCCTTACCACTCAGAATGTTTAATGAATATGTGCATTGTGCAGTACAAGGTACTCTAAAGTTCCCTCTTGCCTTTTGCAGTTGTCTGAAGGGACTGCCACCCAGCAAACAATACATGGCCTTAAACCTTTCACTACGTACTCTGTTGGTGTAGAGGCCTGCACCTGTTTCAACTGTTGCAGCAAAGGGCCAGTAGCTCAACTGACCACTCAGCCAGCTCCACCTTCAGAACAGCCCCCTCCACATATCCATACTGTAACCTCAAGAATGGCATCTTTCCAGTGGAGTGCACCTCAGTCACCCAATGGCATAATGAAAAGGTAAGAATCACAGTCTGGTTGAGAATTTCAACACCAGCAGGGTCAATTAGATGTACTATTTCCTTTAATATCACTTTTTTGGCCAAATCTGTTAGTGAGATTTGAGATCAAGGTCTATCTTGAGTTTTCCTTAATGTATTTGTAAATAATGATGCTGATATCCAAAGTAGCATAAGTTCATTTTGAATATAGTGCCTCAAATCTTAACTGCTGCTTGCTGTTCTCTAGCATTTGTCTCAAGGAAAATATTGCATGAGTAGAGGAACATTGCATTGCATGTTGACTGTCCCTTTTGATATACTGTTCAGGGAATTGATTCCAGAATCAAAAGCCCTCCACTAAGAACAGCCTACTTCTGACTTCCAGCCACTTCCTTAGAGAGGCTAGTAATGAAAGTCCTTTATTTCAAAGAGACAAAATGGCCAAGGAGTAATTTCTGAAATAGAGAGGATCTAGACCACAAGTGGTCTTGTTGATCAAAGTCAACATTTTCAATTAGGTTTGGAAGTAAATCTGTGGACAGCAAGCATCACCTTTTTTTTGTTTTGTTTTGTTTTTTCCTTTCCTCCCATACAGCAAGTCTACTCAAAAAGTTGTATCTTACTGAAGTAACTGGGTGCTTTGTTCTTAAATTTGGTGAGCAAAAGATCAAGCTCTAAGCAGGCACTATTCTGCACTACCTAAGGCTGCTACCTGTAGGTTTTCAAACCTTGGAAATACCTAGTAATATTCTGAATGTTTGAATTGTTGGTAGTAGTATGTAACCTGCCTTTACAAGCAGCATCTGTACCAAAGACCTGGAGGGTTGTCAACATAATACCCATCTTCAAAAAAGGGCTTCAGAGGTGATCTTGGGAACTACAGACCAATAAGTCTCATTTCTATCCTTGGCAAGTTGGTAGCATCTATAATAAAGAACAAAATCAGCAGTCACATGGACAAATTTGATCTGCTGTGAGAAGAGTCATTATGATTTTGTAAAAGGAAATCCTGTCTTGTGGAGTCCTTTGAGGATGGTAACAAGCATTTTGGCAAGGGGGATCCAGTTGATATAATAAATTTGGATTTTCCAACAGCTTTTGACAAGGGCCCTCACCCAGGCTCTTAAAAAAATTAAATTGCTGCAGGATTGGAGGAAAGGTTCTTTCTTGGATTGAAAGCTGTTTAAAATATAGGAAACAAATGCCTAAATGGTCATTTTCAGGATAGAGGAAAGCTGAAATTGGGATCCTACAGGGATCTGTTCTGGGCCCAGTTTTGTTCAGAATTTCCATAAATGACCATGGAAAGGGAGTGCCCAGTGAAATCTCAAAGTTTGCAGATGATATTAAATTATTCCAGGTAGTCAAACCCAGCCTCCTGGCAAAAATCTGCAGAAAAATCTCACTAAGTTAAATGAGCAGGCAGAAAAGAACTTCAGTCTTGACAAGTGCACGATATGCACATGAGGAAAAATAACCTCAACAATACGTACATAATCCTGGGCTCTGAATTAGCTTATAGATAGTTTCCTAAAAACATTGGCTCAATTCTCAGTGGCCACCAAAAAACCCAATAAAATGCTGGTAATCATTAAGAGAATAGAAAACAGAAGGGAAAACATCACCATGCAGCTATATAAATCCATGGTGTACCCATATCTTAAAAAGAATGTAGTAGAATTAGAAAAGGTACAGAAAGGGGCAACAAAGATGATCCAAGATACGGAGTAATAGCCAGTAGCCAGGCCTCCAGAAAACATGGGGAAAGTGTGCTACCTGATTGTTTGCTCAAATAAGACTCATCCAAATGTCAATCTCTTTCTCTCTAGCTATGAGCTCCACATGCACACTTATTGCCCTCCCTACTTAAAGTCAGTGGCAAAGACTTGCAGTCCTGGTCCAACTGAAGTGAAATATAAAGGGAAGGGTCAGAGTGCCAACGTGAGTGACCTTCAGCCGTACACAGCTTACAACCTGAGAGTGGTGTCCTACAATTCTGTGGGCAGCAGTGCTTCAGAATGGATCAGCTTTACTACCAAGAAGGAATGTGAGTATATGGGGACAGTAAGAAATTATCTTTCTAGTATGTGGGACTGTATAGGGTCAGAAAAATCATTAAGCCTATTCCCATCTATTTTAAAGAACTCATTATATCATTCCCACTAGCATCCTTCCTTAACCATCTCCAGTAATTATGCATCAGCCACCTGCTCCAGGGAAGTTAGCTCTGCTGTTTGATTGTTCTTACTGTTCAGTACTATTTTTGCACCATCTAGTCTAAACCTTTCCTTTCTCATTTCAAGCTCCTTGTCCTTCTACCTTTTATAGTCATGAAAGCTCTTCCTTTATTCATAGTGGGACATATTAAGTATGTGGAACATGTCCCCTTAAAGCAAATCAGACATTTGTACAGGGGGTTGGACTAGATGACCTTTTTGGTCCTTTCTCGTGCCATGGTTCCATCCTCATGATGCTATGATTGAATAAAAATAAATGTGCCTGGTCAGAATGTAGGCAAGGAAGAAAGGTTGGCACAAAGAAAGAGGAAAGCAGGACTTTTTGAGGGCACTGTGGTTTTCTTGGAGGGTCTGATCCTGTAGTTCTCATGGGAGTATCTCTCCCATTGAACATCACAGGAGTTTTGCCTGTTTTATATACGTGGAATTGGACCATTTTATAAAAAAAGAGAAGAATTCCTCATTATTATATGTTCAAACATTATACACATGGGGCTTACATAGCAAATAAATACACAGACATTATGTATTTAAGTTGATTTTACAATCAAACTAAGATATTAGTTGATTCTATAATCTAAACTGAATTTGCAGTAGTTTAACACAATCTTTTTTCCCCTGTAAATACAGGGTCATAGCCAAAATAGTGGAAAATGGATATAATAGGCAATTTGTCTCGGCAGTACATATGCTGGTTACCTGGCAAAGAATATTCTCTTGGCACACAATAGCCTCAAAATTTACTAAACCACATCTCTGAAAAATCCCTATTTCTACCACAAGCAAACTTTGTATGGAAGGTACTGAAATCTAAGCCACCAAATAAGACATTGTACAGTTTACTAACATATTGTAATTAAAGGGCTGACCTCTTGGGAAGTGCTCTATAGCCCTTATGTGGCATAATAATGACATTAAAGACAGAAATCACGCTCTCCTGCTCCAATAGCAGAAGGTCCTTCCACTGGAGTAAACAACATGTTTATCACAGGTGTGAAAGAGATGTGACCTCAGATTGCTGCAGAAGACCCTGTATAGATGCAATTGCTCCATCAAAATTGTGCTTTTATCAGTAGAGCTATATTTTGTGGGAGAGGAGGAGGAGATCTACTAAATTCATAGTCTAGCATTACTGCAATGGCCACATCCACATTTGGAACTCTTGATCAGTGACGTATATACAATCATACCTATTCTTTTATAACACAGTATACATTATTGTTTAGCAGTATAATGACTGTGATGAAGTACTGGTTTGATTCCAATAGAGAGCAGTAGTATCCACTAGTAAGTTATTAATTTAGGCTAGGTACAGATGTTGCACTTACACCAGTAAAAATTATTGGAAACTGGTACATACCCATAACCAAATAGAAGTTCGGCACACACAGACCAGTTTAAAGATGGCAAAACCTAATCTAAGATAGACCTGGATGCATATAGTTAAGCGACTTAGGTTATGTAACCCGGGCGGTATGTGGAAGGTACCCCCTCTTCAAATGGAAGGGATGTTAGCGGGCATTGGTGATGCACATGGGGTGGACATGTAACCCCTGAGATTGGCCATGCACCCCCTAGAAATGCCAGGCATGAAACTGGAAGTGCTGGGGGAAGTGTACCTCCGTTTTTGCAACTGGTGATTTCAGGCTCAGCAATCAGCCACTAGGGGACGCCCCCCCCCCCGGTCAGCAACCTGGTGACCCCCCAGACCTGGGAGGCAACAGGTGCCCATGTTAGTGGGAATGTATATGCTGTGGGGAGCATGGCTGCCTAACTATAAGCCAGCTCACCTCCTTCTCTCTACAGAGCCATAAACTTTCATACGTACATATACATAAATTAGGGCTGTGCGAAATTTCACCAGCAGTTTCATTTCGATGCTGTTTCAACTCGTTTCAACCTTGAAACAGCTAAATCAGAACAAAACAGAGAGCTTCGAAATAGCCTCGAAACAAAACAAAGCAAGTTGAAACATTTCAAAATTTTCAAAATGTTTTGAGTTTTGAAGCTCAAGCTGGGCTTGCCTGCAGGGAAACAGAAACTAAAGTAAGGAGAGGGAGGGGGAAGAGGGAGGAATGAGTGCTCTCATTATTGACTGTGTAGCTGGCCAGAGACTGTCATCCGTTCCTGAGGTCCCGTCCAATCCCAGTGCTCTGGGGGAGGGATGGAAAAAGTGCATAAAAGGCAGCATTGTTTGAACTGCCCTGCTTTCTGCCTTGGTGTCAGCTGAGTGAGGGTACACCTTCACACACACACAGTCACCCACCCATGTCACGAGTTCTGCCTGTCAGCAGCTAGAGGTGCAGGGCCCCAGAACCCAGACTCCCCCTGCACCTATCTCCTTGACAGCTGGAAGGTTTTGTGGCCACAACAGGGCCTAGCAGGCCTGCAGTTTTCACCTCTCTCTGTCCCAAGACGGACACAGTCCCACAAGCACCCATGTCACGAGTTTTGCCTGTCAGCAGCCTGAGGTGCAGGGCCCCAGAACTCAGAAGCCCCTGCACCTATATGCTTGAAAGCTGGCAGGCTTTGTGGCCTCAGCAGGGGCTAGCATGCATGCAGTTTTGGCCCCACTGTGGCTTAACATTTACATGTGACGTGAGTTTTTTGCTTTCAAGAATTTGAGGTGCAGTTTCCCTGAAGCCTCTGCACCTATCTCTGTGAAACTTGGCAGGCATCATGCCCTCAGAAGGGGCTACCATTCCTGCAAGTTTCGTCCAAATCAAAAATGACAGAGTTATAGACTGTTTTGAGGTTCCCCTTTATAGCCTATGGGTGAAATGTTGAAACCGTGTCGAAACAGTGAAACTGTTTTGGTGAAACAAAACAGAACAATGGTTTCGAATTGAAATGAAATTAAAAATGAAACACTGTTCCATCAAAATCTTGAAATGCAAGTCGAAATGGAAAGGTGCTGTTTCGTACAGCCCTAATATAAATGCTATTTACAGATATAAATTTACCCAGACAAAAAACTCAAATTAACCCTGAACTCAAGCATAGGCCTAATTCCCTGTGGCTTTCAGGTTAGCTAGCAGCCCCTGCCCCTCATCAGGGCCCTCCAGCCTGTAGGGCTGGGAGGCACTCAGTGATAAAATGGAGGTTAATCAACAGACTAATGACAAGAATAACAGGCAGTATATGCAATAAGGTTACATCAAATAAAATATACATAGCTAATGATAATCAATACAACCCAATGACAGGAATACCTGACAGTGATAGGACAATATATAACATACACAATAAGGTTACATCAAATAGAACACATATGCATAAAATAACCAATACAATAAACACAAATACAGGGTAACTGTAACACAATAATGAAGACACGGTAATAACAGAATCCCAGCAACATGAAAAAGAAACAGAGCCCAACAGTGGCACAGCAGCTGTTCCCAAAGAAGAAATAACAACCCAAGCAGGGACCCTGTCACCTAATAAAACACCATTACCCTCTGAAGGTTACTCAGCTAGGCAGGGCCCTAAACCAGGGAACCCCCCATAGCAAACAGGAGCCTTGGATCCCTCTTTATGTCCCAGGGCAAATTGTCTTCTTCCATCAGGAGCTTCGCCTCAGCTGTCCACAGTGGGGCCCCTTCCTCCCCTGTGGGAATCCCCTTCCTGGCTGACTCATGACTCCATGGCTTTTGAAGGGTTCGGCTTGTCTCCAGCAGCATGTTGGAGCAAAGCATACCCCCCCACGCCCCCCACTGGGATGTTTAACCCATGCCACTCCCAGCGAGAAGGCCCAAGCTGCCTTATGCAGCTCATCTGGCCCGTTGGCCCACTCTCTGCCCTGTGCACCACCCTGTGCACTGAAGGGGCACCTACCTTGGGCAGTGGGAAAAGGACTGCACTGCCTAGTGCAGCCCCAGTGTTCCTTCAGCTCTAGGGCCTTATGCACCACTTCATGCACCAATGGCCCAGCTCCTACCTTGTGCAAGATTGGGGATGCACGCTGCCTTATGCAGTTGCCAGGTCCCATTCAACTCTATCAGCCCAGTGTACCACTTTGTGCACCAAATGGGCGCTAGGCTCCTGCCTCATGCAGGGTTGGGGACCCGTACTGCCTCATGCTTCTGCTGTGGTCTCATCCACTCCCAGACTCTCCCTGCACCATTCTGTGCACCAGTCCATGCACTGAGGGCTCCCATTCCCGCCTAGTGCAGGGTTGGGGACCCACGCTTGCTCGTGCAGCTGCCATGGTCCCATCCAATCCCAGACCCTCTGTGCACCGACCTGTGCACTGTCGCCATGGCTCTCTCCACAGTCCCCACTGTGGGCATGGGCTCCAGCCACTGGCTGCTCCTGTCCAGCAAAGACATCTTCCAGGTGCTTTTGGGGCAACTGCTCTGCCCCGCTGGTCAGCAATACCAGCTCTTCATCAGCCCTCTTCATTGTCCCATGTCAAAGCCACCTGTGTGCTCAGCACATGGGCTTTTATTCCTTCTGGAGACTCTGCCTCCATTGGGAATGGACCAATCAGAAAGCTCAAGGGGTTAGTTCCCTTTTTGGTCGTCTCTTTTACCTCATCCCTGGGTCAAGGTGCGGCTGCCTTTTTTCTGCCTTCCCCTGATTGATGGGGAAGGAAAACTGCCTCTACTAATGAAGCCTGAGCCCTTTGGGCTCAAGCTGACGGTCCAGGTCTGGTGGTGAGCCCATCAGCCAGTCTGTCCCAGTTAAACTGGTCTTTCAAACTTCTGTATCAGATCCTGTGCTGACTTTGCAGCCCCCTGTTTCCTCCCCGTCACAAAGAGGCATGCTGGAACTCAGCTTGTGCTCAGCTGCTCTGTGTTGTCAGCCTCAAACAAGAAAGTTGGGGAGGAAGGGGAACATCTGTAGCTCAGTATTTTCCTATCTTTATACAGTGTCCCTAGGCAGGGGGAGATGCTCTGGAGAAGAAAGGATTAGGCCAGTCAGAGCTTTGGAGAATGGTAGACACCTGGCAGCAGGCACCCAGTGAGATTGCAGGAATTTGTCAAAATTTGCCATAGTTTGTCAAAGCTCCAAGGACCCCAATCCTTCCTTCTGCAGGGTGCCCCTTTCCCTGTTGCATGGCACAAGACTGCGGGCACCTGCTGCTGGGGGAGAGTGGAAGAGAGATTCCCAGCTCTGATCCTGCTCCCTGGTGTTGCACCAGCTCATGCAGGACCAGAGCTAGGCATGGCAGAGCAGGATTATCATGCCTGTGGCTGACATTGCTCTGGGAGGTGGGGGGAAGGGCTGCTTGGCCCAGGAGCCAATTAGGAGTGGCCTGGCAGGGAGAGCCTGCTGGGAAGTGTGCAGGAGCATCTCCCAACCTGGTGGCCTCTACCAGTGCAGGCAGCCCATGTGTCCCACCCCCACCAAAGGATGAATGTCTATTCTATTTGCTCCTGACTTAACCTAAGGCGCTTAAAGTAAAATGCAAGACTTAGACTGCTTCTGCCTCAGGCTTTTTGAATATCTGCATTTAGCCTTACTCAACAACAACCTCCTAAGCCACTAAAATATATGTCTTCACTGTCGCTCCTTGTGTCTCCTTCATTAGTAAGACCTGAAGCATTTCATTAAAAAAAGGAGACAATGGTTTATGGACATTCTTTGTTTTAAGTACAGTGCCAAAATCATGACAAATGAACATGTCTGTATTTAGGGACCAGTGCTTGATTATACACTAATGTACTACACTATTGATTGATTAGTCAGGGCGATGAATTATATGTGAATTGCTGTTTGTAAGGCTTTTTAACTATCTATGAAAATAAACTAATGGTTCAAGAAAAAGCTTTAAAACTGAATGGGTGCCAAAAGGACATAATTCACTTTCTAAGCAGTTTAGTTTGGAGAAAAATATATTAACTTCATCTAGCCTTTTGGGCTTGGTTGCTATAAATATTGATTTGATATGAAAAATAGCTTCCAACTATAGTTAATACTAAGATCCTTTACCTGTTAAACGGGGAGTAGGAATTAAACAAAATATGAGAAAATTACTCTACCATCTGAAAGATACTGAATAGTAGTGTATCCATTAGCTGGAACCTTGTATGCACATGGTGGTTTGGTAGGAAGGTCTTGGCTGGTTTTCATAGAAAAGTAGGGTTTGAAGGGACCTGAGATGGTCATCTAATTCAAGACCTGGTCAAGGAAGGATCGGCTCTATCTGAGGCATCCTAGACAAATGTTTGTCTAATCTAGTCTAAGGACACCTATACACATGCACTGAGGATGCTCTGACGTGCTGTAATTACAGCGTGTCACAGCAGACTCAATCGAGTCTGCTGGAATATGGTAATTACCGTACTCCAGCAGACTCTAACATCACATGTATCAGCATCCCTGCACTGAAAAACGGTGGTGGGGGTGCTTTAACTAAAGCTTTAATTAAAGCGCCCCTGCTGCCATTTCTTAGCACAGGGATACTGATACACATGACACACTGGGAGCTTTAATTAGAGCGGCTCTCAGAGATGCTTTAATTAAAGCAACCCGCTCCCCCACCCGGAGCATGTGTATAAACACCCCAAAACTTCAGAAAGTAACCTCACACACAGCTACCAGGCAGAATGCCTGACACATCAAAAATGCCTTTAACTTGCCACAGGTAAAGCAAGAGAACAAAGGCACTGTCAGTGTCCTACTACTGCAAGGACTGGAATTAATTTGTTATAATCTATGGAAGAGGACTGTTCCCTCCCTGCCCCATCCCATCCCTGCCCCCCACACACAGAGGATAGAAAAGGAACCCACACTCCCTGCCAATCTGTGGAGTAAATTTCTTCTTTCATTCCAAATGTGAAGATTAATGTGAATCTGAGTGGAGGAGCAAGTTCCTCCAGCAAAGAACCTCTGTTTTCTAAGTCCAAGCAGAACTATCAGTACTCCCCAGTCAAAATCTCCAGTCAAACTGGCCAGCACTCAGGGCTTCTGAGAAAGGTGAAAAAAACCCCATCTTACACTCATAGATTTCATAGACATTAGGGCTGGAAGGGACCTCGCGAGATCATCAGGTCCAGTCCTCTGCCCAGGGGGCAGGAAATCAGCTGAGGTCAGATCACCATAGCAAGATAAGCATTCAAGCATTTCTTAAAGGTATCCAGAGTAGGTGCTTGCACCACTTCTGGGGGGGAGTCTATTCCAGACTCTGGAGACTTGGTAAAGAAATTTTTCTTTATGTCCAGTCTAAAACGGTTTTCCAGCAGTTTGTGACTGTTAGACCTTGTCTTCCCTTGGAGTGCCCTAGTGAACAAAAGTTCTCCCAGTTCCTGATGCATACCTCTTATAGGCTGTCACCAAGTCACCCCTGAGCCTTTGCTTCTCCAGGCTGAAGAGTCCCATGGCTCTCACCCTCTCCTCATAAGGCCTGTTCTCTTGACCTCTAATTATGCACATGGCCCTCCTCTGGACTCTCTCAAAATTCTCCACATACTTTCTAAAGTGTGGAGCCCAGAACTGGATGCAGTACTCCAGCTATGGCCTCACCAAGGCTGAGTAAAGTGGGAAGATGGCTTCTTGGGTCTTGCTTGAGATGCATTGGTAGATGCAAGCCAGAGTTTTATAGGTAGGCTGGCCATAAGGACATCTGGGACACTTTTCCCCACATCCTGCCCTCCCAAGTCAGTGGTACTACTGCAGGCAGAGGTGGGGGGCAGGTTCACCAGGCACTTGGTTCACCAGGCTCACCAGACATATGGTTCACCATGGTTCACCAGGCACATGGGCGGGTGGGCAGACAATGGTGCCTAACTGCCCACCTGCCTGATGCTTTGTGCTGCTCTGCACCACTCTGCCTCCCCACTGGACTGCACCCCATTCCCATGTTTCTGGGATGCTTGTTTTAATTCTCACCAGCCAGCCTGAACTGGCCTTCAACATCCAAGACTGTCCTGGCTAAACCAGGACATATGGTCCCCCTCCCCATAAGCAACCTGGATGGGGAGGAAGAGAGGGAAATCCTTCCTGGCCCCATGTGACACCCATCAAAGCCCCCAAACATAGGATATCCATAACCAGATAATCTCTACTTATCACTGCAACTTTGGGACCGTAAACAACTCTATGCACACTAAGATAACCAAAATGACTCCAGTGGTTTTCACCAGTATAGATGAGAGACAAAAGCTCAACACAAGGAGTAACTCATATTCTGTCATGCAGAATATTTTTATGTCTTTGTATTACTTTTCTGCATACAATGGGAGGTGGTATACACTTGTACTAGACACATTTTGCCCAAACTTTTTGATACATGGGGTACATTTTTTTTCTGGATTAAAATTGGTGGCATACTTCACTCTCCAGTCCATAAACCAGATCTGGACCATAGGCCACATCATGCGTGCAGTGCTGCCAGCCAAGGTCCAATCCCTGCTTGCAGTGCTGTTGCAGCCAGGGCTTGATCCAGCCATGTGAAGCTGGCCTGGCAGGGGCCCCGTCCAGATCATTTTTCACAGCATACCCTTTGAGGATCACCGTACTAGACAGTGTAAGGCACATAGTAAGAAACAGCTCCCCCTGCTAATTTTCCTTGTAGGTTTTACTTGGAATGCAGATACAGTATGTTTCAGGATAGCTATCCATGGGCAGACTTTTTTTTCCCCCCTCTCTCTCTCCTGCTTTTCTCTGTATGTATGTGTTTGAGTGTGAGAGAGGACAGCCTGTATTCTTTAATGTATACACTCTATGTAAGTTAACGAGATGCCAACCATTTATAAACAAGTTCTTTCTTTTTCTGGCAGTGCCTCAATACAGAAGTCCATTTTCTGTTGCCAGCAATTTATCTATGGTCCACCTAGACTGGAGTTACACTTTCCTACTGAATGGGCAGCTAAAGGAGTATGTGTTAACTGAGGGCAAACAGCGTGTCTATAGTGGCTTTGACACCAAGCTGAATTTACCTAGGACATCTGACAAAAGTGAGTTTCTAGTTCCCATTTCTGTGTTCGTCTGATTGTATTAAATGCTTAATTTTTTAAAAGTTGTCCAAGAAATACATTATATTGAAATGTCTCAAAATTTGTGGGGGGTTCTCTGAAAACCTTGTATCATACATGTACCTTCTCCTGATATATGTTCTTCTTTGGGTATATGTTCTGTATATGTTCTTTCTCCTGATAAATGAATGCCCTTTCCTTTAGAATAAGGAAATCAGTTTTGTTTTTGGTGTCACTGAATATGAGAGGTATAGGGGGAAAACGGTAACCAGTTATGTTTCTGAAACATTTTTCTGTCTTCTTATGGGGGTGAGTAGAGATAGCCAGGGAACAGTGTGGAGTTGACCTCAATGATTTGATTATAGAACTTCCCCTCAAAAGTGAGGGTTGAAAAATTTTGGAAGGATCTGCCCTTAAATCCATGATACTCTTAAGGCTCGGTCTTGCAAGGCGGCAAATAGTCCAAAAACCATTTGACTAAGCACTCCAAATTAAGCAGATCAAGAGCCCAAAGCAGTCAATGGGACTATTCCTATGTTTAGATTCAAGTAGCTCTATAAGTTTTGCTGGATTGGGATAGAGCGCTTGGATCTTCCAGACCAAATCTTAAGTGTTGTGGGGATAAGTAAATGCACATCCACCTCAATACCCAGAGGTGTTTGAGATCCACCAGGAAAAAATGAGGCAAAAAGGAGGAGCCAGGAAACTAAAGGCCAGTTAGTGCCTCCTCAATGCCCAGGAAGTTACTGGAACATATCGTAAGGGAGTACATTTGAAAGTGTCTGGAGAAGGAAAGGCTGATCTCAAGCAGCCATCATGGATTTACTATGAACAAGTCATGCCAAACTAGATCTTCTTCAGCAAGATAACTAGTTTTGTGGATGAAAAGAATGTTATGGATATGCATATCTGGAGCCATGGGGGTTTGGCCTTCTTATGTAGCAAGGGACTTAGCCCTCTTCCTTGGATCTCTCAAGTATAATTTAACAACCCCTGCAGCATCAGGAGATTAGATAATGCATTATTTGTGGCCCGGTGGTTAGCTCACTGTACTGGGAATTAGGAGCTGAAGTTCCAACCTCTTGTGGGTGAGGGAAGCAAGGACCTGCACTTTCCACTTCTTAAGTGAGTGTCCTAATCACTAGACTATCAGGATAAACACGGAAGGGTCATTCACTGCTGTCACATCCATTTGGTTTCCCACAGGCAGGTATGGTGGTGCGATTCTATTTCTTTAGATGGCAAAATAGAATCTAAAAATGTATGCACATGCCAAGAAATGGCACTAACACCATTTCTCTGGGTAACTTCTGTTCAGGCACATGGAGTGAAAAAAGATACTGCCTAAAGGTTAAGTTACACATTACACTTAAACCACATTAAATCTGTGGCTTGTTAATCGGAGTTAAAGTTAAAACATATTGGGTGTGTCTATATGTGTATTAAGGCACTTTTTCTAATGTGCATTAAACTTCGTACGTCCAGTGTGAGGTACTAAAGAAATGTGTATTATGCTGCCTGAACGTGCATGGTTAAGTGACACTTAATGTGCAGTAACCTATTTTACTGAAAATTAATGTAATTGCATGTGTTTTTTACATGACTCTTTAATGCACAATAAAATAGGCTACTGCACATTAAAGCACACATGTAGATGTGCCCACTGTGAGTAGTCACACCTTAAGGGCTAATACTGTTTCTTGCGTACACACCTCTGATTTGTGACTAGAGGACTGGTGAGCATGAGTGTGGCTAGAAGCTAGGGTACCTGGGCTCTTGCTGGCTTCCTCCTCGCCCTATATATATCTATATAACATATATATCTATCTATATCTATCTGATAGATGGCCTAAGGTGATGGACATATACACCCTACCACCAGCTGCCCCGTGTGCGGGGAAGGGGGTGTGTGGGCATAGGTGATCTGGCTATGGTGGTCATGGCAGCATGGCACTCCCTCCTATGCTGGTTTCTGTCCACTGGACCATGGAAGCACTCCTGCCTGGAGCTGGTCTGGCCCAGCTGTAACCCTGTGCCCTGCACCCCCTGGGGTTGCAGAAATCTCGGGGGGCATGTGTCCCTCTCTGCTGCATTGCCTTGTCCTCCCGACCCCTCTTCACCACATTGCCTGTGCTCGCTGACCCCCTGATGTATAACCTGTGCCTCCCCCCGACTTCCCCAATGCATTGCTTGTGCCCCCTCTGCCCCTGCTCCCATAGATTTACTTAGAGGGAACTGTGGGAGCTGCTTTCCACCTCTCCTTGGCTGCCATGTGCATGTGCGTATGTACATGCTTGTGGCACCCCCTGCCTCCAATTGCCCATTTCCCCCACCCCCAAGCAGTCCCCTTGCAGGCTGGAACTCTGCTAGCCTGAGAGGGGAAACCCACAGTTTCCCACTTTTTTCTCCTTTAAAGAAGAAATATTACATTATTTTCCTCAGATTTGGGTCCCAGCAGTTCTCTTCCCAAGGGAGGCCAAGGCCTTCAGGCTCCCACGTACTCGGTGCCTATGGTTCTGGGCAAGTGTCCTAATCTCCAACTACTTTGGTACACTCTGTGACCTGGAAGATGGCATAGAGTGCACCCTCAGCAAGTCTGCAAATGACACCAAGCTGGGAGGAGTAGCAGATACACTGGAGGGTAGGGCTAGTATTCAGAGTGACCCAGACAAATTGGAGGGTTGGGCCAAAAAGAATCTCATGAAGTTCAATAAGGACAAGTGCAAAGTCCTGCACCCAGTGGAACAATCCCATGCAGTGGTACAGGCTGGGGGCTGGCTGACTGGGCAGCAGCTCTGCAAAAAAGGACCTGGGGTTATAGTGGACAATAAGCTGAATATGAGCCAGCAGTGTGCCCTTGTTGTCAAGAAGGCTAATGGCATACTGGGATACATTAATATTTGCGTTGTGAGCAGGTCAAGAGAAGTGAGTATTCCCCTCTATTCAGCACTGGTGAGGCCACATCTGAAGTACTGTGTTCAGTCTTGGGCCTCCCCACTACAGAAAAGATGTGGACAAATTGGAGAGAATCCAAAAGAGGGTGACAAAAATGGTTCAGGGGATGGAGGATATGACTTATGAGGAAAGATTGAGACAACTGGGGTTATTTAGTCTAGAAAAACAGAGACTGAAAGGGGACTTAATAGCAGCCTTCAACTACCTGAAGCCTGGGGGTTAGAAAGAGGATGAAACTAGACTGTTGTCAATCATGGCAGATAGATAACAGAACAAGGAGCAACAGTCTAACAGATATTAGGTTAGATATGAGGAAGAATTTTCTCACTATGAGGATAGTAAAACACTGGAACAGCTTTCCCAGAGAGGTGGCAGAAGCTCCATCCTTGGAGGTTTTCAGAACCTGACTAGACAATGCCTTGGCTGGGATGATCTAGTTGGGGATGGTCCTGCATTGAGCAGGGGGTTGGAGTAGGTGACCTCTCCCTTCCAACCATAACTTTCTATGACTGTACATATTCAGGAGCTTTTTGCTATTGGGTGCACACACACGTGCACACACGCCACACCATGCACATGCACACACACACGCACACACCCTCCCTCCCCCCCAGTCAAAAAACCTGCTAAAAAGCATGTCTCTTCTATCTTAGCATGGGTTAAATTCACCATTGGAATGAATGGAGAGACATTCATTGATCTCCTGCCTAACAAAGGATCTGTCTCTGGCAGCATCTAGGTGCCGTTCATTGAAAGAAATGGGAAAACTGCGTAGGTCTGCAGGGCAAAATAGAGAGTATATGTTGAGAACTATGGACTAAATCATTTTATTTCACCTGCTAGACTTACTAGACTTACTTGCTAGAGTTACTATAGGGAAGATTCTGTTGTACACAACTAGAATCAGGGAAACACTTTGCCTGCATAGACATGTAATTCACCTATATTTTCAGTGTGGTGCAAGTACATAGCTCGTCTAATTAGCCACATGGTTAGAGTATTTGGTTGCCCAATGGCTTAGCATCAACAGGAAGATGCTGTTTCTCCTACAGGTTTGCTGTCTTACGGTATGGGAGGTCAGTGTTTAAATCCATTCATTCATACAAGGCTTCAGTTGTACATTGGGTTGGACACTGACTAACTGCTCTGGACTTATTTACTGTTTCATAGGCAAAAGCAGATA